CATTAGTCTCATATATCCATATATCCCACTAATCAAAAACGAATTTCTAATTAAAAATTAAAAAAAACATACACAATCTATACGAGACAAACTTTATTATTTCTATATCAGCAAACACATAACAAATGTTACATTTTTTCTATATATGCATAACAAATAACAAATCTGTATTATCTAATATTAAAATGTTAGACATGCTACGTCTATATATTTATTTCATAAATCGAGCAAACTAATGGTCTATATATTACTAGATTAGTTACAAATGTGCCATGATATTCTAATTATTTCGTTAATTAACATTAAACATCAGTAATACAAACATCATATCTCTATATATACATAAAGAATTTGTGTATATGTATATATATTAAATTGATCTAAGGTCTATATTTTAAAATCCAGAATAACATATATATATATATATATATATATATATATATATAGATATATTTAACAACTCAAACATGTAAGCGTATAATTCATGTAAATTAATATATTAGAATGTATTTTTATAACTTTTGTAAGTACAAATTTTCCTAGGTTCATAAATCCAAACTACATTTATAAAATTAATTCTCAAAACTAAATCTATCATAAAATCAACAATAAATTAATTTTTCAAATTTTGAAGGTAATCCAAATTTCAAAAATTAAACGGAACCCTACAAAAATATTTCTCTATAAATATATTCCCTGATATCATCTTCATCCTCTCAAATTTACCAAACACACATCTTCTTAGTTTTCGAGCAATCTAAATTTTGTAAATCTTCATCAACTCTTTTACAAAGATGTATATGTGTTTGTTATTTAAGTTACGTTAGAAAAAAAATTGTCGCCTTTAATTATTTTACGGGTAAAACGAATTCCGATATGAAAAATCGATGATTGGAATATAAAACGTTTTTTTAACATGTTTCATAGTACACTAACAGATTTTGGATTCCGGATAATAATACAATAATTTTTATAACTAAAACTACAATGCACTTCTTTAATTGTCATTTCATCCCGCACATAGTACGGGTAATTTATCTAGTAGATAGGGTATTTACAAAACAAATTAAAACCAAAAAAATCTTTTAACTAATGTTTTAATAACAACTAATGCTTTTTTTGATGATCTTTTTATGGTTTTTGTCTTCGCAATTAATACTAAAACATCTTCAAAGTCGAAACACATGGGAGTAAGTAGTTTAGGTCGTGTGGGTCAGTGTGTGTGTTAATTGTTTTACCATGCATAATCTGGGATATAGAAGTATAGTAAAGTAAAAGTAAGAACAAAAACAAAACGAGCTGAATCTTATGGTTAGTTATAAATTAAGAAGACAAAATTAAAGCAAGTGGCTAATTATATTATGGGAATATATACGGTAGGTATGAGAGGGTAATTAAGTAGTAAGATGAGTTATTGTAATATACAGTTGAGGAAATGAGCTAGTCTAAGATAAGAATAGCATATTAACTAAACATAATGAGAATAATCTCAAGTTATAAAATCTACAACCAAAAAAAAAAAAAAGAACCCAAGTAAAACCTTAGGCTAGCTAGAAATGTCGTCGTTGGATCAGGCGCAGGATGTGTACTCCTCCACTGTGCACAAGGCTATCATTGCTATCAACGGTGGAGCTTATGCGTTGCTCCAAGTTGTTACAAACCAATCTTGGGCTCCAACCAAAGCAGCAGCTCACAGATCCATTACTATATATCCTGGGTTTCTTGGTGCTAAATCTGATCTACGTCATCCTTCGAGTCTGCGAAGTCAAGCTCCAAAACAAACCTCTTATCCGCAGTTTCGTGGGACACACCAGTCATCTCTTTGGGGCTCTCGCAGCTATCACGCTCATCTCCCTTATTTCGACCATTTTCAGTCTCATCGTTGTTGTCCTCTGGTTTGTTTGGTTGTTCGTTGTTATATATATCGTTTTCTCTGAGAGCTCAAATCCCCACGAGGCGAACCTAACTGAAGCATCAAGCCAGCTCCCTATTTAGCTTTCATACTATTATATTCTCCCACACGCACCGCCCCAGCTTTGAGATCTTCTTTTTTTTTTATTTCATAATAAAGCGATAAGCTTTTAGGGTTCATATATTATGCATGACTGTGGACGTTTATGTCAACGTTTATGCATATATATATATATATATATATATATGGGTCTTTTTATATATATTCCTTGACTACTATTATGTTTTCTCATTCTGAGATATAAATTGAACTATGATAATTTTGGCTTTAGTTAAAAGTCTCGCTAAGAATTTAAAATTTATAATATAAATGGAACAAAAACCCTAATCGAGGAAGAGAGAATTTTCTGCATAGGGTCAAAGTTTGAAAAAATGCACATGCATGTAAGACAAACCTTTTGTTCGTGCTAACTTGGGTTATGAAATTTTCTCTTTCTTTCTCTTTTATCAAGAATAAAAAAAAAACATTCCATAGGTTTCTTAAAATATGTAGGAATTTTTTCAAGTGTTAGAAATAAAAGAGAAAACAGTATGACAAGCTATCGCCAGAAATGAGGAAGATAATTGAAAATAGTAACTAATTAGCTTAATATATAAATCCTTACGTCCAGCAAGTATGAAATGATAAGTCATTACAAAAAAGGGTAAATTGCATGTTATGGCAGTTGACCAACTTTTATTTTCAAGTTTTGGCAAACTGAGAATGGCCTTTCATGTTTTGACATTTTGGCGAAAATCTGACCATTTTACCCCTACCAACGGACCGATGTACTGTTCACTGTACGGTTCAGTTAAGCGGTTCAGTTACGTACACTGTTCCGGTTAAGCAATATATTTCGTTCTTAATTGATTTGTGCGGGAGTACAGTGACAAGTTGGGATTAAAAACATTAAAACACAATGAGACATCAGTATTTAATGCCCAAAAAGTTTAGACATGATTCATGTCACAATTAATGCAAAAGTCATCATTACTTTTTCTAATATTAGTTTTTATGCGTGAATAGTTGTAAGAGACAAACATGATCCATGAAACAAACAAATTTTTCTGAACGAATGTGATTCTGCATCGGTTTGATCTTCTTGATTTACAAAGTTTGGAGCCAAGACAAGCATTGAACGTGTAAGTAATGAAATTGGTTAAGAAGTTTTTTGTTTTAACACACTAGGGTCTTGATTGTGTGCTAAGATCAACATTGTTTTTATATAAAAACCCAGAATATTTTTATTTCCACTTTTTTTAGTTGAAATTGCTAAATGAGGATAGATTTATGTTTATAAGTGTGTAGTTGGGAATTCTTTTTGTTTTTTGTAGATATAATCATGCTTTCATTTGCATTTAATGGGGTTCTGCTGAATTTATGATGCAGGTTGGTAATGGATATTCCCGTATTTACTATGGTGGGTGAGTGGAAATACAAAGAAGAAGAATGGAAATTTGAACCATGGGAAGGCTGGTTTGGTCGTTGTGTACGTGTTAGGCAAAACATGACGTACACGGCATTTGTACGTACATTATGCGAGGTTTTCAGTTTGAAGTGCACCGAATGCAATCCAATAATTAGTTACTGGATGCCGGGAAAGATGTCAGTGATGATAGAAAGTAAACGCCCTCCTGTATACATTGACAATCAAATGAACCTGGATACATTCTTTTTGATTCGTGGTGGGGATCCTAGTGTCACCTTGTTTGTCTCTTTCATTACAACCGTCAAGGCACTCGGGAATACTGTCCCTAGGACCGATGGTGAGAGTTACCGTGTGTGTGGGAGTGCAACGACACCAAATCCCATCGTAGCGGCTTCAAATGTAGATGGAAATAATGAGGCCGTAGATGAGCAAGACGACGTTGAAGACGATAAAACAGATGAGGATGAAGAAGAGGAGGAGGACAACGAAGATGGTGCTGGGTATGATGATTATCAGGGTGATGATGGATCTATGGGGGGAAGTACCCTCGATCCTACTATAGACGGTAGTGAAGGCAGTGGCGAAGATTACGATTACAACAAGTGGAACGATTTAATTATTGAAGAATATGGAATAGGGAATGTTGAGGAGGACGTCATTCTCACTCAACAAACGGTTCAACATCCAGGGGAATTCATTCGTCTATTGGCAGAGTGTACGTACACAAGTCATCGTGTACGTGGAGGAAATAACTCGGTTGACCGTACACCAACGGTGACTCCAAGACATACGTGTCAACATGGTTTGTACCAATATACGTACACAACAGAATGTGTACAAGATACAGGCAGCGAAGGTAACACCGATACCAATATTAATGGTATAGACGATGTCTCTGGGGATGATGTTATCGACCGTGGTATTGGAGATTCCCCAAGTGGGACACTGAATGATAATCGGCTAGTTACTGCACCTGGCGGAGATAACATTTCTCATTCGGGTGACCGTACACCAACGGTGACTCCAAGACGTACGTGTCAACATGGTTTGTACCAATGTACGTACACTACAGAGTGTGTACAAGATACAGGCTGCGAAGGTAACACGGATACCAATATTAATGGTATATACGAAGTCACTATCGACCGTGGTATTGGAGCTTCCGCAAGTGGGACACTGAATGATAATCGGTTAGTTACCGCAGCTGAGGCTTACGAAGTGTATAATGACTTTTCTACATTACATGGTGGCGAGTTGGAGATTCTCGATAATGATGCTACTCCGGTATTCGATGATTTAGCCAATTTACGAGATGATGAGACACAAGTCGAACTGAGTACGACAGGTGAGACTTTGTATGTCGGGAGTGTTTTTATGAACAGAAAAGTCATACAACAAACAATGTCTTATCTCGCAATCAAACAATGCTTTTGCTACAAGCAACGTAGGTCATGTCCTACAAGATTGGAGATGGTCTGCGTTGATGATACTTGTCCATGGCATTTGACAGCTCAAGGGGGTCCGAGAGCTGTCGATTTACCACAGTTGCTCCTAAATGATCTCAATGTTCGGATTTCATATTCTACCGCTTGGAGAGCTAAAGAGGTTGCAGTAGAAAATGTAAGGGGGGATGATATAAAAAGTTACAGGTTTTTGCCTACCTATTTGTATCTTCTTAAATTAGCTAATCCGGGTACGATAACTCACCTACACTCTACACCTGAAGCTGATGGTACGCAGCGCTTTAAGTATGTTTTTGTATCTCTCGGGGCTTCTATAAAAGGTCTGAAGTATATGAGGAAGGTAATTGTCGTAGATGGAACGCAGCTAGTAGGACGTTACAAGGGATGTCTCCTCATTGCATGTGCCCAAGATGGGAACTTCCAAATATTTCCAATAGCGTTTGGTGTTGTGGATGGTGAGACTGACGCTTCATGGGTGTGGTTCTTTGATAAATTAGCTGACATTGTTCCAGACAATGAAGATTTAATGATTGTATCGGACAGACATTCTTCAATATATAAAGGCCTCAGTGTGGTTTATCCGAAAGCTCATCATGGTGCATGTGCAGTACACCTTGAGCGAAATATCTCCACCCATTATGGTAAGTATGGTGTATCTGGATTATTCTTCAGCGCTGCTAAAGCTTACAGAGTGAGAGATTTTGAAAAATACTTCGAACAGTTAAGGGCTAAGAGTGCTGCATGCGCAAATTACTTAGAGGAAATTGGATTTGAGCATTGGACAAGAGCTCACTGTAAAGGGGAACGCTACAATATCATGTCTAGCAACAATTCGGAGTCTATGAATAATGTCTTAACAAGAGCCAAATCATATCCGATTGTGTACATGATAGAGTTCATTCGAGAGGTCCTAATGCGATGGTTCGCAGCGAGGAGGCAAAAAGTGGCTAGGTGTAAGTCTTTAGTGACGCCTGAGGTTGATGAGCGTTTTCTCCAAGATTTGCCTGCGTCAGGGAAATTAGCGGTTAAGATGTCTGGACCGTGGAGTTATCAAGTTACAAGCAAGTCAGGTGAGCATTTTCATGTCGTTCTGGACGAGTGTACGTGTACGTGTCTTAGGTACACAAAGTTGAGAATCCCATGTGAACACGGTCTAGCAGCTGCAATCGAGTTTGGAATAGATCCGAAGGTTGTTGTAGGATGGTGGTATGGACTTCAAACGTTTTCCGATTCTTTTCAAGAACCGATTCTACCTATCGCGGATCCGAAGGATGTTGTCATCCCACAACATATATCGGATTTGATACTAATTCCTCCATACTGTAGACGACCACCAGGAAGACCAACAACCAAACGGATTCCATCTAGAGGTGAAAACCGGGTAAGTGCTATCATTCAAACGTGTACAGATTTTTCAAACATTATGTTTTGAGTATAAGATACGTAGATTATTAACATATTGTTGTTGTCATTTCAGAAAAAGAGACAGAAAAGACTTATTCCGAATCAGTGCACACGATGTAGACAAGCAGGTCATAACAAGAAGACTTGCAAAAATCCTATTTAGTTCTCCTCATAAGCTTTATGTCTCCGCGAAGATAGTGTACATTTATGTGTGGACAGTGTGTACCAAAGTGTTGTGACGGTGTACGTACGTTTAATGTTTGCCATCGTATAACTATGTACGTTTTCTGAGTGTACGTTTTTGTTAGTGTACGTGTTTGTTGTGTCTGTGTACGTATAATCTTCATGCAATAAACGGTTACAAACGGTTACACACTTTTGTATCTCAACCGTTGGAACACTTTCGCACTACCCACCGCGTCCGTTACGGAATTTCCTTATTTAAGCCACATCTCCTCCTCAATTTTATCCACGTTCCTTCAAACGGAAACCCTTTCACATTCGGCAGTTACATCAATCAAACACAAAGTCTTTCGATTGTTCTTGCTAACCGTGTGATGGACGGGTATCACACCATCTCTGAATTGTGTCCTCAGATCACTGGGTGGACAATTTGTGTATTTGTCGTGAGAGTGTTTAAGAAGTTTGTTGCGCCCAACATCTTCGAACTCGGCCTTATCTTGGCAGATAATTCGGTAGTTTCCCTGTGCCGTGTTTGTGTTTTTTTATCATACGTTAGGTTCAATTCTATATATATCTGTTATATATCATATTCTGTAGGGATCCCGTTCCCGTATCGAGGCCACCATTGATCGTCGCCTTGCTCCTTTTTACATAGACCGAATCAAAGAAAATGAGTGGAAAATTGTGACCACTTTCTTGGTCCGTAACGTCGCTGACCCAGTGAGAGCAACATCTCATGACTACGGCATATGGTTTATGGATCGGACCGTCGTTACTAACGCCTTACGAAGGGACCCAATATCGTTTTACGATTTCACTCAATTCGACTACATTTTGGAGAAAACAGTTGATAAGAAAGTTTTAGTCGGTGAGATGTTTTTTAAGTTACGTTTTATTTACACATTTTTGAAATTAGAAGTTTGTTTCTATTTTTTGGCCCTTGATGTAGATGTCATTGGAGCGTTGTTGGAGGTTGGCCACTTGACCGGAGACTTCTACGGTCTCAAGCTTCCTTTCAAGATCAAAGATAGATAGTAAATGTTCTTTTCACATTTGATTCACTTACACTTTTTAATCTAAACGCTGACTTGATTCTTCTTTTAATCTAATGCAGCAACGAAGTTTTGGAATGCGAAGCACACAATGAACAGGCGTTGGAATTCCAAACCTTCTTTCGGAGTCTAGGTCAGCGCAATGTTGTTGTCGCACTCGTCTTCTGGCGTTTAACCGACAGAGCTAATCCTAAGGTTGTGAGTCATGGTCCTGTGTCAAAGGTCTTTGCCGATCCGGACACACCGGAAGTGGAAGAGATCAAGCAGGTCGTTTTTTAGATAGGGGGATTTGTTTTCCCCAGTCTTCTTATTATTAAAGACCAGATTTATATTAAGTATTGTAAAACTACATAAACTTGTTGTCGTTTTCTAATTACTTGAATTTGTATAATAAACTATTGGGTAACTGTACGTACATTTTATACGTACAGTGTCTACAATTACAATTAATTTGCCAGTGTACGTTTTACTAGCTTTTTGGTTCTTCAATCAGCAAATTGTACGAAACCCGTGTTCGTACACGAAAACATACATATATCATATTTGTTGTCCTCAAACAACAAAAACTTCATTCATTCATAATTAAATGCCCGAAGAAGGACATACATTCAAGAAAGACAAACTATATATTAGATGCGGAAGCAATAAACTAAAAAGTAGAGCCCGAAGCATACACATGAGCCGGAAAATTGTATGCCTCATCCGTCATTATCAAAGTCATATCTAATAGAAGACACACATCTCCCTCGCGTACCAGTAAAAGAAACACCCTCTGCAGCCGGAACTGTACGTGCAACGGCCAAGACATGCCGGTGTGTGCACATACCTCCATGAACGTTGCCAGAGCCGAGGACCTTCGGTGTGAAGCTGGCTTATGTGATACATCACCATCTCCCCCACTGCGTGAGCTGCCGCTAATGTGGGTGTCATCGCCCAGAAGATATCGCTGACTGGAAGAAAGTCGACATGGTTGCCAGTACAAGTTAGGAATAAGCCGGTCGCGAAGCAGGCGAGAGGGTTGGATGGAGCGACGGAGTTGAGTAGTGTAATGCCGTGGGCCACCGTTAGGAAGCTGCTTGCCTGGCGGACACCTTCGAGGTATATAGCCGGGATCGCACCCCTTTCCAGCAAGAGGCTGAAGTAGGCCCTGAAGGGAGACTCCGGCTGCACGAAGTGAGGCCATGTGATGAAGTCGTCCATCACTATTGCGTTTACGTCACTTGCTTCGACCAAGTGGCGGAGGGTCTCGATGGGAGTCTGGGATACGGGCAGGTAGTTGATGAGGACGGAAATCGGGTTTGGCAATTGTATTGCAAGGTACATCTCGGTTGGAGGGGTTGCGGGGAAAGTCATGTTGTTAACAAAGGAGGTTTAGAAATAATCTTGCAGTTGATGAAAGAAGGAAGTTTTAGAATGATGTGAGCAAATAAATTAGTGTGTGTGATATCGTTTATATAGGGCCTAAATATTGAGTTCATGTACATGGCTACATTTGGGGGGAACGAATTAATAAAGTGTCATTATTTTAAAGTTCCTCTTGTCTGACAAATGCAAGTGTACATTAATTGCAAACCGTGTACATAAAGTAAAGAGATTTATGGGAAAAGATAGAGGTCATTCTATGAATAGAGCTTGACAGTATGCATTAAATAACCACTCCAAAACTTGTAGATATGGGTTATTACAGGTCAAATCAATCAGCATTGCATCATCATTTACTACCATCTCGAAAGTCGCTTCTCATATTTCTAGTTTCAAACCAACTAAAATACGTGTACACAGTAACGTATACCCGTGTACGTATGTCTACCCTTATTACGTTCTCTGACTAAAAGTTTGAGTTGATGTCTGTCGCCGAATTAGGGGAAAAGATTGAGTTCATGTATATGGCTAAATCTGGAGGAAACGCATTAAAAACCAAATCTCTTTCTTTTGCAATTTCGTTTTATCTGACAAAAGACAGTGTACATTAATTACAGGGATGTGTACGTATATATGTACATTAATTTGCGTTTCTTTTTTTTTTTTTTTGAAAAGATAGAGGTCATTATCAATGGCTAAATCAGGTCAGTATGTATTTACTGATAATTCGTAAGCCTGTGTAGACAAGGCACCATTATCTAACATTAAGAAACTTGTTTCTCAATTTAATATAAAATATTACAATTATTTGTAACCATTCATAAGATTGAGTAGTATATGAGAAACAAGCAAGGATGTAGATAAAAAGATATTCATTACTGATAAGCCTATTTACAATTGCAAAGGCCACATATTATAACATAAAAACTTAGAAATTCAGATAATATTACGTAAGAAATCCCTAGAGAATTTGACTAATTCTTCTCGCACACCACCAGAGGTAACATACGTTGCACACATTCTTGAAGGGTCCAGATCTGATGTAACACAGCATCGCGCAAGGAGGCGTTTGAATACCACGTTCCTCAGGGTACGAAAAGGTTGTGCCGTATGTGTTGTTTAACCTAATTCCATAATTTTTTATTTCTTCTAGGAGTTCCTCACACATGTCACGTGTTTCTTCTGATTCCAAAGCGTAATGGTTGTTTGCGAACAGGCGTAGGTACACACCACCCATGTGAGCATTCCCGTCGCATATGCACAGAATAGCGCAGGCCAGGGTTGCATCGGCGTGACTTGGTACATTCCGCTGTAAAAGTACAATGGCGCCCTTAATGTCAGACTCATGGGTAACTAGACGCAGTCCTTCATGGTAAATAGCAATCGGGTTACCAGCCTCTAGACACCTTTTGAAAAAGGGTCTATATCGACCTTCAGCGTTGATGTCATTCGGATCATGGCCTGCCGCATGGAAGTCATCGGGATCACTGCACATGCTATAAATATTAGCATCTTTCAAGACATCCGGCCTGTAGACAATGTTTCTTCCACCACGCCCTGATCTTAACAGAGGTCCGAGGTACCACCAACATTTTTCAGCCATTTTTTTGGCTATCTTGGCTAGCAAATCTTCTGGTAGATTTGGTGTAGACATTTCTTGGAATTTGGTGTTTCAAAACAATGCAATTCCTACTCTTAAATAAAGAACAATGAAGTTAGTTGGTTAAGTTATGGTTGTAGTTAATGCAATCTTACGTAAGTGATGATGTAGTGAGGGAGGGTTGTCAAATCAATGTAAGTAAAGAAATAGATATCTTATTATGAGAAAAATCGACTTTGTGTAAAAGACGTACGTTATATAAGATGTACGTACACATGTTGGTTTTTGAATAAGTGTACGATGTGCAGATTGTTTAGAGAAGATAGTTATAACGATTACATAAATATTTTGAGGATCTCCATAATTAATTACGTTGTTCTAATTAGGTTGTTGAAATAAGGAAATAAGTACTAGGAAATAAAAATAATTCAACATCCAGGGATGATTACAATAAACGCCGATTACCACACTCGCGCTTGCCGTGCTCGTAGATTTCTGTTGCGTACACCTGACGGTAGGTGGCCATATCTGCTTCTTGAATATTCACCAAGTCTGACATTGGGTTACCAAACGCTAGCAACTCCAAGAACTTCATTGCGTAAGGCCCGCAATCTCCTGTACTTGGGTTTTGAGCGACCATAACATTTCTCTCATAGGCAAAAGGTTCAACTGAGTACTTCGCAGGCAATACATCCGCGCACATCGCTCTCACTAGGTACGGCATCATCTCGCAGACAGGCTGCATCTTTGACCATGCAACAGACTCCCGCGTGTGTTCTATGAGAGCGTCATAGACAACTATATTCCGGGCTCTGAGGTGGATTGCCAACCCAACCCAATGATCACCTTTCCAGTTCATCGGAGCATATACCACGTCGACATCCTTGAACCACCTAAGACTAGGTTCACGGTGTATGTGTATTCCATTGGCCATGTCGTATAGCCGGTCGCCCCATTTGAACCCATGCTTATTTATACAATTCCTGAAGCTGACAGCACGCTTAGTAAGCTCATAAAGCAGGAAGGAGTCCAAAACAACGCATCGGTTTGCTATCATTTGTTGACCGTTCTTGTGCCACATCAAAATTGCGAGCATTTCCAAGACCTGAAATGAAAATAGCATAGGCAGTCAGTGTACGTACAATTCAGGCATATTTAAAAAATGTACACAAATGTACT